TATAAAGAAACTAAATTCTAATAGAGAAATAAGTAAAATAACTATACCCTATGATCACATCTTTAAGCTCTACATCAAATTACATTATAAATATGGTTTTAATTGTTCATTTTGTCAAACTCATAATATTAAATTATTGTGTTATGGACGTGCGCCATTAACAACTGAAGATTCTATCAAGCATCACGCAGAGTTTTGTTGTGAAGGAAACGAAAAATTAAAGAAAAAAATTGAAAAAAATTGAATTTATCGAAAAAGAAAAAGAAAGAAGGAAAAAAAATAAAAAAGCATACAAGAAAGAAATAGAAATTAAAAAAAACATGATAGTTTATTGTAACCCCATTAAATTGTAAACTTTATTCATTTTCATACTAACATTTAGTGGAGAATAGCTGATTTATTATGGAAAAAATGGATGAAAATAAAAATAATATTGCAAATGAAAGATATAGAAAATTATTTTACAAATATTGTTTTTATTGTAAAGAATGTCAAAGATATCAAATGGAGGCTTTATATAGTGCTTCATTACCAAAAAATCCGACACATTGTGTTTTTCATCATTTGTATGTTTGCTGTAAAGAAAAAGAAGAAATAAAAAAAATTGAGGAAGAAATTAGTTTTATTGAAGAAGAAAGGAAAGAAAAAACTTAAATGTCGTATAAAACATACCATACAAGCAAAATCAATACAGAATACAGAAAATTGTTTTATAAATATTGTTATTATTGCAAAATATGTTTTCATCACGAAATTTATTTGAGTTTGAAAAATTTACCAACACCAACTGGAGCAGAAAGTATTGATTATCATGCAAACGTTTGCTGTAAAGACAAAAAAGAATTAAAAAGAAAAATTGAAGAAGAAAAAAAAAGAGGGAAAATAAAAGATATATTAAGAAAGAACTTAAAGAAATAAAAAGAAAGAAAAACACATTATTCTATTTTTCTTTTTTGTAAGAAATTTTAATTTTTTTGAATGGAGAATAAAAGTGATAATTTTCTTCAAAATAAAAGTGATAATTTTCTTGAAAATGAAAGACAAAAAAAATTATTTTATAAATATTGTTTTTATTGTAAAAAATGTCAAAGATATCTAAAGCTTTTAAATAACGCATCATTACCAGTATACCCGTCAGATTGTATTTTTTATCATACATATACTTGCTGTAAAGAAAAGAAAGAATTACAAAAAAAAATTGAAAAAGAAGTTAATTTTACTCATAAAGAAAGAAATTATACAAAGGTAAGATATGAAATTAAAAAACTCAATGAGAATATATTCATTTTTAATCCAACTTTGTTGTGTTACAGAAAGAAAATACAAAAAAGGAAAAAATGAATGAAGCTATGATATAAAACAAGACTACAAATATCTTTATTTATAAAAACAACAAACATGTTAGTGCAAAAAGAAATTAAAGAAATAAAAGATATGATTACAAAATTTGAGGAAGAAAATGTTAAAATACATTTGAAATTACTTGATAAAATTAATATGATAGAAAAAAATAAAAATAATGATGAAAATAATAAAACTACACCTACTGGGTTATTTGGAAAATGTAATTTTCTTAGTAAAAAAGAAAAACCAGAAGCATTTGGTGATGGTAAAAAAACATTTGATTTACCTAGTAAAGAGGAAAGTCTATTAACATTCGATGGATCTTGTCAATCAAAATTTGGTAGTGTCCCCTTCGGTTCATGGCCTCATGGTCGACCCAGTGGTTTATTTTAAAAAACTTTTCTTAAATATAACATTTTAAATTGTAAAAACATGTAATAAATTGTTTTTTCTTGATTAAAATTGTTTTGCAATTTTTTACATTTTTTTCATTTTTTTACATTTTTAAATTTATTTTTTTCAATTTCTTTCAACTTTTTTCAATTTTTTACAATAAATTTCATTTTTTTACAATTTTCTCTATATTTATACTTTTTTATATATCTTTTTGTATCATAAATATTCAGTCGCTCAAAGAGAGAAGATGTCTTTCAAACGTAGAATTAATTCAATTATTCAAGATCTGAAAATTTTTGAAATATGATGGTCAAAACATCTTTTAATAAGTCTTCCATATTGGATTTCTTTTTCTGTCTTCATAAAGCAACAACGTCTTTGGTTCAACCTGTTAATATTGGTGTTTGTGATTAATTTTATCTCAAGTTTTTTGGTAAGCATATTTTAATATTTAATATTTATTAACATTATGACACTTACTTGTTTATCATCATTTTTAGAAAAATTTAATTTGAATGAAGAATTTGTGAAAAGGTTGATTCCTTTTATCGTTTCTTTAATGTGAATGAAGCATTGAAGCGTGACAATTTGTATCATCAATAAATTGGACTTTGACTTTCCATATTAATCATTTTTAAAAATTGGACTTTGGACTTTATCAATGTAATTATTTTATATTGTATTTGAAATATATCTTTTTTATAAAATCTTCTTGTTTTATATATATATATATATATTACTCTTATCCACTATTCTAATATATATATGTATATTATCACAGGCTCACCCTTCTCTATTTTGTTTTACTACCGCTGACTTCAAAAATGATCTAATTACATTCATTTTATAATAAAAATACTTGAGCCTGCGATGATATATATATATATATTAGTTAACTACTATGACGCTTGCTATATAATAATGATACTTAAATTATTTTGCACTTCCTTCTCACATGTAGAAACTTAAGTATGACTGTTTAAGTTATTTGTAGCTTTTAAATATACACGGTGTTAAAATTGAATTGAAAATTGAAGTGTAATTTCTACTTTGATCCACTGTCTTGTACTTCTTTTTTAACGTTTGAACCAAACTTGTTATGTGTAAACCTAATCATGTTGTTTTGTCGTTGATTTATATATAATGCAGAGAAGCAACGAAGACTTCGTACAGGTATTATCTTTGGTATTATCTTGCAGCATACTGATAATAATATGGTTGTTTAGGGTTGCTATTTCATTTCCAATGTTGAATCATGAATGATCATATTTCTGGTCTTATGAGATATATTAAAACTAAAGTATGCGTACTGTAACTTTAGTTGATAATGATGTGGCTGCATGTGCCGCTGTGGATTTAGCAGGAATTTGCATAGATTCTTTCCATCTCGGTTATGACGCGCTATATAAAGCCTAATGTGAATGTTCAATGTATTGGTAGTTAGTTGTTTTTCATAGGCTGCAATTGGTGTATTCTTTGGTTGGTGAAACTCTCCTTTACAAAAGATTGCTCTTTTCCAATTTTCATTTTTTTTAACACAGTCTTTGCTGGTAATTTAAATTATTGCAATAAACTGGGTTCTAATGTCCATTATAAGATTTTATTTCCCGCCTGGAAAATCTATTGTTTTTGTTTTTTCATGATGTTTGTATCAGGATAAGACAGATTGCATTGAAATTCATCCACCATTCTTCTACCTCCTCCAACGTTTTTGATTTTAGCACTTGGCTTGACCTTTCATTTGTGAATGTTGAAATAAGTTTGTTTGTTTTAAGATAATTACAGTTTTATATAACGATGACTGTGAATTAGTCGAACTGTCAGGTGTAATATTGTTTTTATTGTTTATTTTTTCATAATGTAGAACTGACGATAATTCAAAATCTGCTTGAAGGTTGGTTTAATCCTGTATGTAGTATAAAAATAATAAAAGTTTATGGTTATTGACTTAATTGCAATAATAACTCTTACAAAGTATAAGTTTGTATTAAGTTTTTATTAAACTACACTTTTCACTATTGTAGATGTTTAAACAGACGCAATATAAAGTACTTTGCAGCTTTTGGTTATTCGATGAAAACAACAATGCTCACAACACTTTCTTTTTCTGTGTTAACAGAAGACATTTCAATAATTATTTTCGATGGTCATAATTTGCTTATCTTAAAAACTATAGCAACATAGTAAAAATCGGTAACAAACCTGTAGTTCGCTACAGATTTTCACCCGATTTTTCGAGTCCGGCGACTTTCCATGCATGAAAGGAGCACGTAATTTGGCTTCAGTGTAGGTCCGACAAATCGTTGTGTGTAAACGTACCTTTAGAAACTACGTCATGTGCTTTACCAAATATACAAACAAACATTGATTTTTAAGTACCAAGTTTGAACAAATACAAAACAATTGTGCGTCAAAGCAAACAAATATATAATGGACTAAAAACGCAATGTTAATAAAAAGATGATGAGCATCTGACAACTTCAGTGCCATTTGCGACTTCTCCAGGGGCTAGAGTGTGGTTACAAGTATCTCTAAGGGTTTCGATGAAAAATAGAATAATAAAGTTGTCAATGTTAAATTTTTGAAAAAAATTCTTATTGTGTTACTAATAATAATAAACTCTAGTCGCAACTGTAATACTTTTCTTATAATTCACAGCCAATTAACGTTACCAGGATTAGAATAGTTAAATTTCAATTTTTTGCGATTTTTATTGCAGTCTGGTTGCAATGGTTACTGTTATGTTCATTATGTTAATAGTATTTATTGTTCTTTTTACTACAGAGACATACACTTATTCAAGCCAACTTGAAATTGCTGAGAAAACGCACGACGAAATACTCAATCTGAAAATTCTAGCCCTGACCAATGAATATCACAGTTATGGTAAGACACTATTTAAAGTATAAAGCCGATTGTTTGCAATAAGAATGTTAGGTATCGAATCCAAATTCCTGTTGATTATCTAAAGTCAAAATGTAGGTCACATTTTCGCAGTTTACATTTAAGCAATGTTAAATATTTGCTCATGATTTTTGTAGCAAATGTACTTTGAAACCACCATTTGTGCTTGCACTTGAAACTAACAGAGCCAGAGGCGTACTGAAATTTTAGACTGATGAAAACTTTTACACCACATTAATATTAGAATTATTGAAATGTCTATTGACTATTTGACTATTTTTTATATTTTGCTAAATGGCATACAATTGTTTTAAGTTGGGAAGTCGCAAAAATGGAATTGCGTTGACAAATCGGTGATGCATCGCGGAAAGTTTGAAATGATGCAAAAACATTGGCTTGAACATCCAGGTGATATTAGAATTAAAGGCGATGTACGTGTGATTTTCAAGGAAAAGTTCTTGATTAGCAAAGGAAGTGGTGGAACCTTGGTTTATCTTGGTTTGGGAAAGGATGGTTATGGAAAAGCTGTAAAACGAATCCTTAAATATAGCTGTATCCATATTGCTCTACGAGAAAAGAATGTTTTGAATGAGCCAAACGCAAAGAAGTCGAAGCATGTTGTAAAGTATTTGAACTTCATAGAAGAGGAAGGAGAAGATTTTGTCTATTTGATATCAGACTTGTGCGAACAAACTTTGACAAGTTTTGTTGAGTCTACTAGTTTAGATAAACTTCACGAAGCCCTTCCCGAAATCCTTAAGCAAATTTTAAATGGATTATCTGATCTTCATAGTGGCCCAAGTTCTATTCTTCATCGGGATTTAAAGCCTTCTAATGTTCTTCAAGACGTGGAAGGTAAATTTATGATAGCTGACTTTGGCATTAGTCGAATATTGAAAAGTGGCGATTACTCAACATATCAAAGCAGTCCTGGTACAGGCAGTTATGGTTGGTCCGCTCCTGAATCCTTGGGTAGTGGACGTTACAAGAAAGAGTCTGATATAATGGTAGATATGTTCGTTAAAAAATATATAGCTATTGCTCAGTTCTGCAAATAACGAATAAACTCAATTTTTTAGCATTTCAGTATTTGCAGTTGATGTTGTGACTATTTATGGGTGTTTTTTTAATATTAGAGTATAGGAATGGTGGCTTATTATGTTGCAACAAAAGGGGAACATGCTTTTGGAACTGAAGAGAATAGATTGAAAAACTTGTTAAATGGAAACCCTGTTGGCTTGAAGAAAATCGATGATGCTCAACTTAAAGATCTTCTTTCATGGATGCTACAGCATGAGCCTAAACTCAGGCGATCAGCCAACGAGGCGTTAAGACATCCTTATCTACGATCCAATGAGGAAAGTTTTGACATGCTGTGTGATGTTGGGAACCAACCGGAGATAAAACAACCAAAATGTCAAAATTCAGATGTTCGTAAGCAGTTGAATCGTCGCACAAAATGGATGAAACGTATCCATGATGAAGTTTTGAAAGATTTAAAAACATTTGAAGTAAACAACAAAAACAGGACTGTAACCTACAAGTCTTCATGGGCAAGTTGTTTAAGATTCATACGTAACGTTGATCAGCACTGGCATGATAAACCTCGTCTACGTCTATCGCCATTTATCAAGGAAGACAACTATAAAGAGTATTTCATTCAACGTTTTCCTGAACTTCCTCTTGTGGTGCACAAAATTATTAGATCAACTGACTGGAAAACAAGACCTAAATTGCAAAAACATTTTACCTGTAAGCTATTCAAATAATACCCCACTTTTACGACTTAGACATGTTAGAGTTTCATGCATGCTAACATACTTCTCTGTCACATTGAACTTTTTTTTCTACTCTTTAAGATGTATGTTTTAAGCATTGTATAAATGTTTCCAACCTTCTCAACGTTAAGTAAAATTATTTTCCCGTTGCAAACGTTTTTAGGAAACATAAATCCTGTGAAAATTGAAGGAAGTCAATGGAAAGAAAAGTGAAGATATTATTGAACACCGTAATCTTGATGGAAAATGAAGTATAACAAACTCTTAACTAATCATGTGCCACTTTCAAATTGTTAATTTGAGCAACGACAAAGAAATTGATTCATAAAGTCATATCAAGGATTACTTGAATGTATAGTCACTGAAGTATGGATTATTAATTAACTTAAATTCGATCTTATATGTATGTAAAGGTCTTAGCTAATGTAGGACGTGAATGCATGAAAAGCAATTAGGGAAATGTTGTATTAATTATAGTCGTAGAGCATCTTGCAAATAAATTTATATAATGGTTAATATTGTTGCAATGAGGTGCCAGGCGGGGGGATTCTCAATATAAATATTAGAACCCAACAAATAATTTTATACATAGTCATAAAACAAAATGTAATGGTTGTTATATACTTCGTCATAAAAGTTGAATATGTTAAGAACATGTATATCTTTCTAGTTCAAGCTGGAGAAAATTATTAAAGCGAGTCGTATAGGGTAGCCGTAAGTATGTTTACAAAAGTTAAGGCGTTTTAAAGAAAATTCTTATTATCCACTGTTATTTGGTTATCACAACATTACCGGACACTAAACATGGTTACTCTGGGTCATCTGATGTCTTCCACATATATTTAGGGATGTATTTCTGGAAAACGATTGGAGAAAGTGTTTTAGGTCGCTCTGTTTTTGATTATATATTTGAAGCTCAAGGAAAGGTAAATGAGTTTGTGTAAATTGTTGTTTGTGCTTGTTTGGTTGAGAAGTTTTAAGTTACTCCAATGAACAGTTGCTATTATAGATTGGTCTCACAAAAGTGCATCTACGCAGATTAAATCAACTATCGTCATTCATTTTAAGGTCACGAAGACATTCCTCCAGTAATTGCAACAGGATTTGGTTATCTGTCATGATCTCTGATTTTTTTCAGTTGTGGAAAATGAAGGTTTGTGTTTGTTTGAAATGAACGATTAATATTGCTTATTAATGTTTATTTTGAACCCATTGCCTCTAATTGAAAGTTATTGATTGCCAGTCTTGATTGCAAGAATACAGCATATATTGCAAGGAAATGTTATCATTCAACGTTTCCAGAAACTGTGTTATTTCCTTTGATTAAACTTAACTTTGTATACATGCAGGCTTTATAAATGTCATCTCCAAGTCTTCGTCTTACTTAAAATGCTGTTACATGTTACATTTTTTATGTTGCATGAGGCATTGTATCATATCTACAGTGATCATTACAAGAAATGTACATTTGTTCTAGATTTGACAACGATTCTAGTGATTATTTCCAAAAATGCTTGTAACTTGTGACTTGTATCGTAAGCGTTTTGTTTTGGAGACTTTCTATATGTGATCTTCCCAGTAGATCTATCTTTTCTCACTGCCTCGTTCTTTGATTTCTGCAAGTCTCGACAATACTCGACCTAAACCATCATAAACAAAATGAAATTTATAGCCGCGTAAATTACCTTTTTGTAATAGCTGTTTACATCATGCGGCATGTAATATGTTTTAATAAGTAATCAAATTTAGGGTTGACTGTCAATCTTACAAAATCGAGCAAAAATTTGACAAAAGAGATACATGATGTGCATGGAATCGAAACATTGAAATCGAGGGAATTTTGGTCGCCACCGTCTATTGAAGCACCCTTTCGGCTTCTTTCAAATATCGAAATACCACATGATGGAAATCAGAATGGTGGAGCATCTCGCGGTACGATAACACTGATATGTCTGAAGGATGGTGTTTACTCCGCCTTGACATGCGCACATGTTGCTTGTGCCACTGAACACCAGCAAACATTTCTTGACGGAGAGCGACTGGTATTAATCAGCAAAGCTGTACAAACCTTGAATAAACACGATGAAAACAAGTATATGTACACACCGTCTAAGAGTGACTGTAAAGCAGAAATTGGATCTTCTCATCGACACACCTTTGCTCAGTTTGATAGTGAAACAGACATCATGTCTATCAATACTGGCAAGCAAGAAGATTTCAAGAAACTTATTGGTGATGAAATGGAAGATGTTGTATTGAATTTGCAAATGAAGAACTTCGAGTCTTTTTCATAGAAAATACACATTTCAGTTTCCCAGGGTTTATTTCACTTTTGGTTTTATATTGAAACGGTGCGCATCAAACTTATTCGTGATATGCGATGTGCTTATTTTCTTTTCCTTTTTATTGAGCTTTTTATACTCAACATTCAAAAATAGGACATTGTTTACATGAAATATGTGATTTGTATTTATACATGACATGAAAAAGGCTTTTTAAATAGATTTTTTGCGAGAATATTTACTTTTCATTTTGACACACTGAGCTATATATGTACTTGCATTGTTTGTGTTTTCGTGACATGAAAATGCTTCTTAAAAAACACATTTTTCTCTTTATTCGATGATTCAAATTTTTGGAAACTTTAATAGTTTGTGTATTTAACCGGGAACTACGATATTTTGGCAGTAGAAACAAGTAGGCATATCTAGAACTTCGTATAACTCAGAAAAAGCGAATATTTTCGCACGGTTTTTTGCCAACTTTTGTTTTCGTCAGATAATATTTTAGAAACTAAACGACCTTTGTGCAACGTAGTTACTTGAGTGAAAAATTTAATGCCTCTACTATAGTCAAAGCTAAATATTAAAGGTATTAAACAAACAGAAAAGGGTGAAATTTAGCGATATAACGAAAGACCTCGGTCCGATATTTCTCCGTAAAGACCTCGCGCTCGGTTATTAAGAGCTTAATATCGCTAGTTTTTGACAGTTCTGTATAGTTTATTTTCACAACTCTGTATAGCTTACAGCTCAGTTATATTTTCCTTGTTCGTGAATTCATGAGTAAAATACCCCCCGTTGCGATTCATGTATAGGAAGTTTCTTTTGTTCAATAGTGCTTAATTGTTTCAAAACTAGGTGATATTCAAGAGCCAACATTAAAAAAATCCAGAACTGATCCACGGAAGACAAGAGCTAACGGTATATTTATTACATTAAATGGAAATTTGATGTTGTTGAAAAGTATGATAGATGTGGGAAAAGTCATTATTGGACGCTAAACTTTTATAGTATTTATTGACCGAGTAAGATTTGTTTTCTTCTATTTTATTACTTAAAGAGGAGAAAGTAACCGTAGAGAAACATGAAGAATTCCGAGAACACAAATTGGAAAAAAACCCAGCAGCAACAACCAGAAGATTTACCACAGCGACCAGAAAGTAAGCAACACTTAAAGCCAAATAAACTCATTGAAGGTATTTTTTCTGAAAATAGTTTAACACACCTTCACTTTTACCTGATGACCTCTTTACTGCAATATAATAGGGTAGCTATCAGTCTAAAAGACATATAGAAGTATATCAATTACCATTTGTTAATTTGTTTTGGGGAAAATGAAAAATAAACGTTTCATTTGCCACAGATATTTTTTATTCTAAGACTTTCTTTTGTTATTGATGGTTAAATACTTTATATTAGCTTATGGAATGATCGTATACACGGTAAAAATTTGATACAATTGTTTATCGTACCTGTTATTTAAGAGCAAATAGGAATTTTTTGTTGTGGTGCCTCAGAAGAAAACATTGAGGCCGAAACCAGTAACTCTGCAAAGGGTATTTTATGTTTATGTTACGTGCAAAAAATCTGTAAATGGCATTCTTATACCATGTCGAAAACGTGAAAAAACACTCTAATCTTGTGAATAAGATTAATATGACCTGATTAACGTCATAGCGTATAAAATATCATGACCAAAACCAGAAATCCAGAGCAAAGTAATTTATGATCCCATGTATATGATTAGTCAATTTTTAGTCTTATTTATGTCTTATCGTATGGAAGTTTCATCGTAGTTAATGTTGGTGCACCAAAGTTATCAATTATATTTTTATGATATTTAGAAGCCAATCATGACGACAACTTCCATAAACTTCTAGACAAAAGTAAGAATATTAAAACTGAGGTTCACGAGGCTCTCCAAAGGTAATTTTTCTTTCATGGGATATCGATTATGTATGTTGACCTGTGCATGTTGGAACATTACGAAAAATAGTTTTTAGACAATATATAGTTATCGTTTCTTGTTTAAGTTGCTCGTGGCTTAGTGGGAAGTATGGAATAGCTCGCCCAGACATGAAGATGCCGTTTCCTCATTTGTATGTCACAGTTGATTTTGAGAAAGAAAATTCGGAGGACGCTATCAAAAATGAGATCGATGAAAAGTTAAAATGGAAAGCATCGAAATACATCGAATTACGATATAAAGCATTGAAAGAAGCAAAGTTTCGAATGCTGTCTAATATTGAAGCGCAAAGAACCGAGAGTAGTTCTGGAACATTGACAATGTTCTGCCTTAAGAATGATATGTACTATGCCTTGACCTGTGCTCATGCGGGTGTTGTCAATTATTTGGATGAACGTCAAGAACGGTATAGTGACGGAGACCAATTTGTGGAAATCCAAGAATCTTATATTGTCCCAGTTAAAGAAGACAGCATGGAATACTTTTACAACGGACAACCGATTGTCCCTGTTCCGGACCAAACGAGAGTGGTGTCTAATGAAGAAGTCGATATTATGTACATCGTCATTGGTAGGGAGCTTGCTGTAAATAATCAGATGACTCTCAATTTAGATTTGGAGGGGGCAAGCGATGAGATTTATGAAATATTTTTTTATTCTCCAAATGATGTCAGAGTTCGTACAGCAGACGCAATACTTGGCGATATTTGCGATCCGAATTGGACGTATTGTAGCCCGAATTCGAAACAAGTTGTTTACCAGAATGCGGTACTTGTTCAAAGTAGTAACCAATCAATTGATTCCGGGGACTCTGGAGCCTTAGTGTATTTTCTAAATGAAGAAAATAATTGGAAACCGTTTGCATATCTTGTTGCCGAATTTACAGATTATGATCCTGTTTCCTCCAGACCAAGGAAAAATTACATCTGCTTGAAATTGGACAAGGCTTTGAATGCACTGAATCTTGACGACGCTGAATACTTCACAGATTACGAAAGCAACCTGGTGCATCAACCTGACGAAGGTAAGTAAAATCTTACGTCGTCTTCTTCATAATCGTCTGACTATCAGTAATAATGTAAATGACCCGGTGGAGCGATATTTTTATTGTTAATTAGCTTATATGTGCAAGACAATCTTCGCCCAGTATAGTACATTTTCTCGTTTATAGGTCAGAATTAAGTGAGCTTATTAGAAGAGTCTCAAAAAATTACAAATCCTCGACGTTAAGGAAAAAACCTAACAATTAAAATGATAATAATACTCTTTGTTAACCAATGTAGCCCCTATATCGAAAACTATATTACTATATAGTTGAATACTATATAACTATATTACTAATATATACTTGTAGCCCCTATAGCGATAACTTCATTTATTTACTTTCCTCTGTAGATTTTTAAACATCTAGATTTGATGAGTGAGTCAAAACAGATGTATATTACATACTGCACGTTTTTATTCATTTACATTGTCATGTAGTTACTCTTACTATAAAAACATTTAATAAGTATTTGCCATTCAACATAACTAATTTCAGTACTTTGCCGTCATGTATTTATAAATAAATGTTTGTATGGTTTGCACTTATTTAATTTAATAATTAAAAAGCAAAAATTCTTGAAAGATGTAGTTATGCATTAATTATGAGTACATAGCTTTTGCTCCAAAAAAAAAACAAAAACAATCTATTAATGTTACTACAGGTAGCAAGCGACAACGTTTCATATAAGACGATCTTGTTTTTTTTGTAAGTGAAATAATGTGAAATAATTTTACATGTTCTACAACAAATTTACACTCGCCCAATACTGGTTCTTCATTTAGCAGACACAGTGTTTTTACCTAAAGATCATAACCATGTATGCAACTCTCACAAGGTGGAGTACTGCATAACACTTAAGTTTCTAGCTTGCTACTTGTCAGTTGATTATATACGTTATGGTGATGGAGTCTGTGGACCAATAACTGTATGACTTAGATAATATATTTGTGCTAAGCTCTTACGTGAATTGTTTATCAAAGGTCTGTTGCAACAAATTTTCTCACATTACATTTGTGTTTGAGATGTGAACATGTAGTAAGATATAGTTCGGTATTTTGCTCAAGAGTTTTGGCTTATTTTTGACTTGATATATTGATATAGCACACTATCATTTGATTTGTTACTATATTATCTCTCTATGCAGTCTCCAAAGATAAAATTTCGAATGCAGCTTTTTGGTGCTAGGACTCAAACAAATTTATATTCGAAATGCACTTTTTGTTTGACGTGTGATTCCATCAGTTCATCCTTGGGACTCCTGATGACGATGAAGCTTACCTCATCTGCTTGAAATTGGACATAGCTTTGAATGAACTGAATCTTAGCGATGGTCAATATTTTACAGATGATGAAAAAACCTTCCACGACAACATTTCCCTTGAAAAACTTTCCATGACATCAATCATAGTTATTTTTATTGGAACTAACTTTTACATTGTCTTTTTAATTCTCTAAATATTAACAATATAAAAGTCTAAATTGAGTGCCATTGTAAAAGTTTGGTCATTTATATAAACAAGATCAATCATGTTTCCCCAGTCCTTATGCAGTCCTAAATGGCTGTCGTGTAGTAACAGTTATTTTAAAAACATTTACGAGGTACTAACTCCTTAGTGATGATGTAATAATCCAATAATTATGAATATATAAAACTTTTACTTAGTAAAGAACTAGCCATATAACATAAATGAAAACCTTAGTTACTTACATATCTGACATCCTGTTTTTTTAGCTCTAAGAGAAACGAGAATATTAGAAACAGTCGTCCATTTTCGTTCGTGAAGAATTTTGATGCTATGTACATTTAGCGTTTAAATTATTTTTAATTCATTTTGTTTGTCTATTTCATATTTATAAACAAACCTTGTATGATTTTTGGTTTTTTGTTTAATCATTGGTCAGCAAACACGTTGTAACTATACATGAACTATACAGAATAACATTTTTCCTGTTTGTTTTTATTAACTTTTTGTTAGCAATATGATTTAGTCTTTCCGACAGTAAATACTATTTTTTTAACGTACGCAAGTTATTCAACAAATCAACTCTAGCAGCATAGCACAACTCTGGTGAGTGTCTTACATGAAAATAACAGAAATGTTGATAGATCTTCTATTTCTAATTGCTTCTTGAAAATTTATGTTTAACTTAATTTCAACTCTCGGCCATTACAGAAACACTTTGATTCCTGGCCTTTCACATGTTACACAATAATTATACATGATATTACATCACTGAGGTCTGTGGATCAATAACTGCAAATCGGCTAAAAGCAAAGAACCTCTCCTAGTATGTACATATTACATGGTATTTTATCCGTCATCATAATTCATTTATAACTGCTTGAGATTCTTTTACATTTTATTGAATAGTTTTCTTTGACAATGAAGACGAAAATCTTTATGATCATCAAGTGAAGATTAGTCAGGTAAGGTCGGTGAGTCTTTAGTGGACTGGGGAGTAGTAACATGAATGTTATTTTTTTAAATGGAAACATCGTTATTAATATTGTCTAGCAATAATATAAATAAAATTAATAAATACTTACGAAATGAACTCATATGAAAATAGTTTTATAACCATCAAAGTTAGTTAAGTAAACGAGAAATATATTATTATAGGTTTAGTATATGTAGATATCACAATGATTCACAGTTTGTTTATCATCAACTCTCCAATGTGAGTAGATATGATATATATGATGGATATATATGGGTTAAATATTTTCTATAGATCAAATTTCCTCTCTAGGCCCTTGTTGGTTTGTTAGTTTACACCGATCATTTATGCAGTTTAGGAACTTGTGTTTGATTGCTGTGGATGGCAGTCGTTTGTGGCTGTTCAAAAGACATCAGGCCATGGAAAAATAATAAGTTTTATTATCAACTGAAGAAAGTAACTGGGGACAAGTAAGATAAATGTTTTGAATTTTTTTCAAAAGGAAACATCTTTATTAAATGTTAGCAAAAATATAAATATTTACAAAATGAACTTAAATGAAAATAGTTTAAGGCAGGTATTGGTTAATGGTTACAGATAAAATTTCCCCTTCTGGCTCTTTTGTTGGTTTTGTGCATATTAGCTTGTAATTATTCAAGTACGTAATTTATAATTAAATTTGAATGAGATATAGTGAGATAAGTTGCAGTATGATATTAAATGAAAGCTTGAACAAGGGCTACAAAGTGAAAGCTTATTTTTATTTGTGATATCACCTGACATGATTAATGCAATTATACTAAGATAAAATGAAAAATGCCATGACATTAAATAGTCCACTAAACGGATGTCCAAGATTAGACAAAAATGATGTCATGGGTAATTGTGGGATATATTTCTGGAAAAACATTGGAGAAGTGTTTTAGGATTTGTTTGTGATTATTTCTTTGAAGCTCAAAAGTGAATGAATTTATGTGTAAATTGTTGGTGATTGATATGAAGGTATCAAGCACTTGTGATATGTTGAAAATGAAGACTTATTTAGTTGAGAAATTTTAAGCATTTATTATGTGCTATTATTTTGTTTACCTGTAATTATATCTAACTTTATTAAATCAAGTATTTGCTTATTTAATTTCAGGCCTATTTTCCTGAAAACATTCCTCTGTTGTGAAAAAATTCTTTGGAAAAATTCGTGCCCTTGCTGGCCAGAGTCAGCCAAAGATCGTATTTTCACGTAAAGGTGCACCTGATTTTTGTATTATTGAAAAGAGAATTCCTTACATAAGTGTACCTAAAGCTATTTCTTACTAATAGTTTTCATTAACACATTATTTTGTTATGCAATCTGCAAATTGGCTCCGAAAAAGTATATAATTGTTGGATTCTGTTATTATTATGCTAAATTCATGCATATTTTTCATAATTTAGACACAGTCACTGAATGAAAATGTATCTGAAATGAGTATTTTTTTTGTTTTTAATGTTTGTTTACAATTACTCATTACTGTCTATCTAGTTTGCACTAATATTAAGCTGTACAATTTTGTGGGAGAGGTCTCGCTGGTCTGTTTGCAACATTGAAGGTGAGTTATTTTATTTGTCCAAGAAATTAGGCTATGCAAAACAAGAGAGTGGCAGACATCATGTCTGTGATGACACTCTATGCACTGCCTTTTTATCATATTTCTTATTTACAAAAAGTTCAAACCTTTTTTCAACCCCCCACAAATAATGACAATTCTGTTGTTATTATCAGGAGTTCAAAGTATCATGATAAAACAAGTTGTCAATCAATGAATTCAATGTTTCAAAATCGTAATATTGTTTAAACAGAATTTAAATATCAGGTCTTGAAGCATAGATAAATGGGATCTAATATAACTCATATTTCATCGCAATTGCCGGAGGGTCTCATAACAATTGCTAACTGTTAAATTTATGCATACTAGAAAATTTCTATCCTGTGTTAAGTGACTGCAACTCCACTTGTTTCAATCTTTTTGCGTCTCCTGTTTTACAGGCTTCCCACATGTACGCAAAGCGTACCTATTTTTGTTAATGCATTTTGTCAAATTCACAGAATGTCCGAAGATTTTTCATGAGCAGTTGCAAGGTCAAAAAAATGGTGACAGAAACGATAAAGTAAGGATTTTTTCTTGCTGCCCATGCCATCATCCAGTATGATATAAAGAAAATTCCAGTTGAATAATTTAAGAAACAGTCCATTCATAAACGATTTGTGTTTTCGTGCTGTCAGACGGAAGCAAAAACGGTGAAGAAGTGGAGGTTGTTGAAACTTTTCAAGGTGAGAGAATTTTTACAAACATAGTTGGGACATGTTCTTTACTGGATAAGAACTACACGTTGCTATTCTAGATTGCATTTGTGAATTCTTTCAATACCCTAATAACCCTTTTAAGAACATTTCACGCGTTAGGCGTTTGATTCAATCGCCAATAGTTTGTATTGGATTTTTCTATAAGATAGAAAGTCAGTCTCTTGGCGATTAAATCGAACTTCCAATGCCTAAATGAAAAACTCTTACATTTTGTTATTACCTTTATACAAAACAAAAGACTTCACAAATTCAATTTAGTTTTTTTGAGCGTAACAGTCTTTAATTCCATGTACAAATCCCCAATTTCTGTTTTTAACACATATCTTTCAGTTTCTTATTAGTTACAGTTAACAAAAAATAATTTTGAACATTTACCAGGAAGAATTCGATTAGAATGATAATAGGAAAATAAAAATAGACAAATTCTCGGTATCGCTTGTATCGAATGAACAAAGATCTTTTTCTTGTTATTTTAAATAGTTGCATCTTAAATAGTTATGCAATGAAGTGTGTCATTGACACGCGTAATATCATTTACCATTTGAACATTTACCAGGAAGAATTCGATTAGAATGATAATAGGAAAATAAAAATAGACAAATTCTCGGTATCGCTAGTATCGAATGAACAAAGATCTTTTTCTTGTTATTTTAAATATTTGCATCTTAAATAGTTATGCAATGAAGTGTGTCATTGA